GATCCTAGTATTGGTAATCTGAGAATGTCAGGATAATTTTCACAAAGGGACTACATAATCTGTGACCCTCTTATTTGGAGAATTAGCTGCCATTCTTGGTCCTCATAGGTCTGTAGCCCTTATTACTAACGAAACGGTCAGCCTGACCTATGATTATGGGTTTCAAATTGCCAACCTCTGTTTAGAAATTGAAATAAAAGGATATTGCATCGCCTTAACTTTTGCAGAAGTAGGTAGTATGAACCTAGTCAAGTTTTCACACGAATGGAAAGAATCATTAAGAAAACCGCGTTTCCTCGATTAATCGTGGAAAAGAAACCAGAGAAAGTCGAGGTGGAATTAAAAAAACTAACGACACCAGATTCGCCAGGACTTTCATGAAACTGGTCAAACACGGATGCACCTCGTTTCAACTTATTCCCTATCGGTACTGTTTTATTGAAGAACTGGCTCCTTCTATAAGGATTCGATTGAGACTTTCTAAAAGCAACCTGCAGAAAATTTATGCAAACGAATCGGTGATTTTGTTCGTTGGGCTCTACTCGAGTTAATCAATCCGTCACTGTTTATTCGACACCTGTACACGGAATTGAGTATATTTGCGTACCATTTGCGCACTGTGAAAAATTCGAATTGATTAAATATTGTACAGTTATTCAAATCTTCAGGAGCCAGATGTGTTCATTATTTTTTTTGTGAGATGCTGAAAATTATCTCGTTTTAATATGGGATATATGATTATCCAGTGAAACAAAAGAACATTTAATTCCATTTATAATTTTCTAAAAAATTACCCAGCAATTTTCCAGATTTTATTAAAAGGAGATATAAATTGATTCTGAGAAAAACTTTATACTCTGGCTTATAAAGGTATGTATTTAACGACCTATCAGGAGATGTCATTAATGTATCAGGAAATTAAACCAATGAAATTACCTACTGAATCGTAATTTAAGTCAATCTTACAAATGGGATGTTTCCGGATAAATCAAAGTATTTTTAAGTAATTTTCTTCATAGAAGATAACACATGTTATCTCATCATCTGGTGTGCAATTTTGAATTAAAGAAAAAAAAATGATCAAACGTTCTACATGGCAGGGGACATATTAGACTTCTAATCTCATAATCCACCTTAGACTTGGATACAAATCCTCAAACAACTCATTTTCTTCTCGTGGCAACATTCTCACGGAAAATTCATAGGTAGTTATTATTAACAAGAACAACACACGAATCCATTGAGCAAGATATTTTTAGTTCGCGATGATAATCGGACACGGAAGCGGCGGATTCTTCGTTTATTTCTCCAAAACGTCGAAACGTTTTATGTATGCAGCTTAAGCTTCGCAGCGTCGCGACGCTTGGGCAAGCTCGTAAGCTGAACGGGATCCATGACGAATCAATTATTTCCCCCCTTGGACGCGAATACGAGTGTTGTCTATTTTCCTACGGCACACATTTAGCCGTTCTTTTCCGCTTTTGAGAGGCCTTGTTCGAGGCCTATTACACCGTGACGAAAAACAACGCCATCGCGACGCTGGCGTACACGGTTGGCTAACAGAAATTCGACCTGTTCCGGGTTTCCACGTCTCTGCCATTTGGTCACCTTCTTTGTGACCCATGCTAGCTTAAGAAATTCAAATCTCAAACTTTTTTCAAAGTCAGTTATTACTGAGACTTCGGAGATCATATTCAGGGGGTAAGTTTATAAAAGGGGTGGCGAATCTCTATGGAAAGCTCTTGTGTCACCCAAACTGGTCAAAGTTAAAGTACTAACAAGAAGTCTACTTTCAACAGAAACAGGGCAAGATTTAATGCCTATAATGCATGAAGGATTTAGTGAGAACGTATGTTGAATACAAAAGGTTAATTTGAGAACTGGGAACTGGTTTAACTACCCCTCGAAAGAAACGAAAAGGGTGCGATTTTATTGCTCGAGAAGTACCCTTTCATCTCTGTTTGCTTTTCAACGATGATTTGTGTCCTGAGTACAGTTTCTCAATACGAGTTAGAATTAAATTGTCTTCTTAATGACAACCAAGAAACTTGTAAATTTAGAGCCAAAATTTCCACAATCTCCTCCACGCTAAATCTATCAACGTGGAACCGTTTTCATGAAAATGGTTATTATTAAACGTCCCCGAAAGCTGTTGTATGAAACGAAAACGGAAACAGGGCGACCTTGATGCAAGATTTCAGTGAAAATGCAAAGCGAAACGGAGGAGGAACCCGGGGGGGGCACAAAGGGTTCTTTGCTTTCGGGATCGTTTAGAGAAGACACGGCCAGGTCAGAAATTACCTAGCATAATTATCTCGAGCACAATCACCCCTTTGACGGTTCCGACGTTCGTGCAAATGTTCGTGATTTACGGTCACTACTTGCTGCACGATTCCGCGAAGAAGAAAGCAATTATCACAGCGCCGTCTTCTCCGTTGGAAACGTGCAATTAACCCTGTGCTGCTGCTGGATTGCCCGAGACATCGTGCACAGTTGTACCCGAAAAATTTGGACCCCGTCTCCTTGCCATTCGTTGTGCACCACTTGAAAGGTGAATGAGAAACGTTAAAGGCTCGTTGTCCCGACGGTGAATGCTCGAGCTCTTTCCACACGATCAGGTTGTAGGATGGCTTTAAATATGATCGGTGGACAAGCTTGAATGTACGACTTCATGATTCAGAGTTGGATGAGTTTATGTTCCTCGTTATTCCTCGTCTAATCCTACAACCTAACTTCAAGTTTCTCCACCGAATGTACCCTCAGCGAAGATACTCTGGTCGCAAGTGTTCGATGAGGCTGGTTGCTGTAACTTCAACCCCCTGCAGTGGATAGCACGCGAAGAAAGCGGAGAAACAGAGGGAACGAACGGAAAAAACGATAGAGCGCGGAGGAGGCGTGAGCAGAGAGCGAGAGGAAGTCGGGAGACGTATGGAAAGGAGCTTTGCTTTTCGTATCCCGTTTGGGAGGCCCGTCGAATGGGCTTCGGCCTTCGTTCCAGAGAGGCCGGACACGCTGAGAGAGCGAGCCGAAAGAACGAGTCAGGGTAAAGCGAGAGAAAGAGAGGAACGACGAAGGAAAGGGCCCCCCGCGCCTTACAATGCAGCCTGATTTATGGCCCGGGCGCACATACATAGAGTTACACACGATATCATAATACCATTAATTCTTCGTCAAATTCCCCGCTGACTGAATCATACTGGCCGCGCAGTAAATCACGCGGGGCGACTAATGTGAACGCGACCAGCGCTCGCTGTCTTATCTCCTTTGAACCACGGGGGCAGGTGGATGCCCGTCCTCTTGGACTCTGCTGAATTGCTGTGGGCCCTCTTTTCTCCCACTCCGTTGCTCACCGCGTCTACCTCCTGTTCAATCTCGAACGCGACCCACTCTATTTGTCTCGTTGCCGCTCGTTTCCGTATTTTTATAGCCGGCTCGGTTATCCGTGGCGATTTCACGAGGGCTACCAAGCCGGCCACTTGTCGGAACCACCGTTTACGTAATCCCGCTTCACCGTGAAGCTCCGAGTTCCACGGGATGGTGACGTTACCTTACCGGGAGAAAGGGGATGTGGGCGTTCGTGGTTACAGCCATTCGATGCCGTGGACCCGTTCATCCTTTTTTTTTTTGTCTTTTTCAGGCTGTGTTTTTTGCGTTTGTTTTTTCATCGCGTGGCTATGAGAAAGTTTTAATGAATTGTCGGGGGCCCTTTGGGGCGAGTTACTGCGGTATTTGGACTGGTCGTGGGACCGACTTTGGTGAACTTCGGAAGGTTAACTCGAGATTTAGCAAATGTCCCTTCAATTGTAACAATGTCGAGCTATTTTTCATTGAATAATTTACTTCTATTAACATCTAATTTGATTCTGCTCCTGTCAGTCCCGGGGTACATTCACTGTTCACAAAATCTAGACGTAATCCATCAACTTCCATCAAATCTTTCTTGTTCCAACAACACTCGCGTAATTTCCAGCTACTTTCAAACAACCGCAGTCCCACTCTATCGATTATTTTCTACTATTCTTGTGCACCGCTTGTCCCGACACCTCGGCCACCCCGGATAACATGAAACATTTACAATGCAGACTCGACGAGCCGCAAATCGCTCCAAATCGTTCAACGATAAATTCGTCTTCGACCTAGAATTTTTTCTGGAAAAATTCCCGAATGAATTTTCTCGATTTTCATCGACGAAAGACGTTTGAAGTGAATATGATTATGGTTCACCGTTGAACATCACGGGGCCTATGATATATGAGCGAGGATCGTTATCGCGGCGAGTATCGAAATTTATAATCTCGCGGCTAATATTCTAGACGTGATTTAGCGTCTCGAAGGAGGCGATCACCGTGAAATAATTGCGATTATTAAACACCCGTAAATTCCACATTCCTGTTACGACACACTGGCACAAATTTTCACCGCGACGATCTACAAATCACTGCCGCATATTTTTACATTTCTTTCCGGGATCTACGCTTATGACTTATCACCGATCGAGTCCCGTCCCGTCGCGCAATTTACGAGCTAACTTAACCGTTCGACGTACGTTCCTTTCCTCTGACCAGCCAGGAAACGCGAGAACGGACCAACTTTCAGGTAATCCGAACTTCCTTTCGACACGCAACATGTGCACACCGCGTTGAGTATGGAAGAAAAGACTACAGCTAGACATCTTGAAACGTTCTAGGACTAGGAAAATCAGAAAAATTTCTAGCGTTTAGATACAGAGAATTCGATAGAGAAGCTGTTGTGAACATCAGACTGATTAACCGAGAAACAAAATTGGACAAGGTACTCCTGCTATAATATCAGGGTTCATAAAACGTGGACGGGGACCCCAACCGAATCAAATTGCCCACTGTCGTTTAGAAGGTTCTCGTCGCAATTTGGCGCGAGGGTACGTGCGCGCGCGCACGATATCCGTGTACCGGGGCCAGGGTAGCCGGCAATTAAATGCAATCACGAGGATGAAAAGAAAAAGAGAAGGTTCAAAGACTTACTCTGTCCGATGTGCACCCTCTTCATCCACGGGTAAATCTGCGGTGGATTGCTGCCGGTGGCGTTCGACTTGTTGGACGAGTTATTCCCGGTGCTGGAGGTGCTAGAGGTGGATGATGCAGGCGAGGACGCGGACGACGCGGTGGTCAAGGTGGAACTTCCTTCGCCCACGGGTCTAGAACTTCCGCTGGCTGGAGAGGAGGCCGATGCGGCCACGGACGACCTCGAGGAGCTTCCTGGCGGCGAGGTGAGACCCGACGCGGTTTTGCTGGTACCAGGTGCCACCAGAGGTGTGGGACTGTTCCTGGAGGTGGACGTGGACAGATCTTGAGGAGACGCGACGCTGGTGGAGGACGTTGAGTCGGCGTACTTGCAGCTCGACGTGGAGGCTGCCGATGGCGCGGATGCTGCCTGAAGCAGCGGCGTCGTCGGGTCCTGATGCAGCTGCTGCTGAGGATGATGTTGTTGCGGATGATGTTGGGATTGTTGCGCGTGCAGGGTGTGCTGCTGCGAGGTAGCGGTCGCGCTGAGTCTTGGTTGAGGTTGCAATTGCGTGTAGTCTATCATCCCTGTGGGCGCTGTGTGCTGCATCCCGGAGGCCGGCGTAGCGTACGGGTGCTGAGGATAGTGTTGCTGAGGCGAATAACAAGGTGCCGGGTAACTGGTCGCCGCGGCGTTTGGATTGTAATAGTCTCCACCTGCTGGTGACGCCGCTTGCATTGGTTCTCCGGGTGAATTTGCCGTGGCTCGGGGTTGCTGTTGCGCCTGTTGGCCCGCGTAGCATGACGCGAGCGAATTGACGAACTGATAGGAACTCATCGTTCACGCGACTTCACCCGTCGTCCTCGTCGTCACTCTGCCAATCGTTCCACACGTGTACTGCTCGACATTCACGAAAACAATAACACAGCACCGAACGCGCTTCGGTCCCCCAACAGACGGCAGGCGGGAACTTGTTCGCGCACTGTCGTTAAATACAGGATTGTGTCATCGCGTCGTTGGTCTCACGACGACGACGGCACCCCGGTGGTATCTGTCACACTGGTATCAACAACAAGCGACCCAATGGTTTTATTATCACTGACCGGGTGGAAAAAACCAGCTCACCGTTTTGCTGTCCCGTTGGCCCAAGAGCCAGTTCACACCTATCGCGCGTTGTTACACGCGGATAAACACGTCCCTAAACGACTCGATAATGAACGAGGGGGATCGCGGCGAATAGACGGAGAGGTAGCAAGCCGTGTGCCGGCAGGCGGGCAGAGTCTGAACCGACCTGAGCCGAGTCGAGCTTACGAGGGCCACGTGGGCCTGGGCTATAAAACTGTCTTCTGCTTCTTTACGATCTCACGAGTCGCAATTACCTACAGAGGACTCGTGGAGGCAGCGTGCAGTAGCGCGTAACAGCGGGCTTATCGGGTCGCCCCATTGAAGACGAGTCCCTGTACACACTTTTTTCTTTTTACTTTTCTCTCTCTCTCTCTTTTTTCTCTCGATGATTTATTCGCACGAATCACCGCGCGTTCAAACGATATTTATATACCGTGAAATCCTTGACGTTGATTTCGCGAGAAGAATGGACCACGGGTAAAGTTCGACCACGGTAACGTAACACGAGCGGATGTAATGTTCGAAAGAACGAAGTAATCGTCGTTCGTAGCCGGTATCCCGGTGTACCGATATCACCGCATTAGGGGGTGAAGCGTATTGCCGCGGATCGCCGTTCACCGTTCCTGTTGCGTGCGCGGAGGGTGGTTGGTATCGTACTGAAGGCCTCGCCACGATCCAACGGAGGCCCGGTGTGTGCGGTAGCTTGTCACGTGCCCGCGCTCTCTGCGTGTCAGAGGAGCGCCTCGACCAATCCCCGTCGTTCGTCAAACCTTGATTGGTCTCTCCGCCGGCGTAGGATTCTTCAACCCCGTTCCTTGCGTCTCCGTCGGCTCTGTGATGGTGCTGGTGCTGGTGCTGCTGCTGCTGCTGCTGCTGTTGGCGCTGCTGCTGCTGCTTGCTCGTGTGGTGGTGTTGCCTGGCTGCTACCCGACGTGACAAGAGCCGACGAGAGGGGTGTGCGAGCAAGACAGGAAATCCGAGGGGTCACAGAGAGGGGATAGCACAGTCAGGGGGGCTAATGGAGAGATATTCGGGAGCCCCGAGGAACGATGGTGGGGCGAGGATCACTCTGCTTCTCTCTCCTTCTATCCTCTGCAACCTCCTGGCCGCAACGTCACCAAGAAGTAGTCTTCCGCTTGCCGTCTCTGCGAGGGGGCAACGCGCGCACGCGCCCCCTTCCGCGTACACCCTCGTGGCGTGGAAACAAGGAAGAAGAGGTGGTTCCCCGCGAGACCGCTACCGCGTTCTTCTCGATCACCGATCGTTCGATCGTCTCCTCGAACTTGTCTCGCACGATTCGTCGCGCGACACCACGCTGCCGTGTGATTATCCTTGGCAACACCTTTGACTTGCGGCTTATGATTCGAAGAAGGAACGGAGCACTACTGTCGGACCACTGTCAAGCGCATTAGGTGTTTCGGAGCCCGCGAAACGAACGGAATCCGAGGCGAGAAGCGGACTAGTCGGGAATCGCAGTCGGAAGAAGGGGCGCGCATAAGTCAGCCGGCCGGCCGCGGTTGACAGTTTTATGAGAGTTTGATAGTCTCCGGCACGCTGTTCTCCCGTTGACGGCGCGAGAGAATCCGGGACGTGTCCGTGGGAGAGACGAAAGGTTGGCCGTTGACGGAAAAGAGAGGAGAGGATTCAAGTGAGCGAGATGGTAACACGCGCGCACTACGCACCGCACTCTTTATTGTCCCATAAATTCAAACCTGTTGCCCATAGCCGAATGAGAGGGACGGTCCGGAAGAAGGAGCAACAGAGACGAAGAAGGGAACGGGAATCAGGGAATGAGATAGAAAGAGAGAGAGAGAGAGAGAGGAAAGCGTGCACGAGGTTAGGAATGCTCTCCCAATCGCGCAATCCGATTGACGCCCCCGTTATCGTACGTACGGCGAACCCGGACGCAACTCGTAACTCACTGAACCGACTGAGCCGGTCGCGAGGAGAGCCTTCCGAGTTGGCGGCTCCAAGCAAGCAGAAGCATGTGTGACGTAGTAGCCAGTTGGTCAAACGGGGGGCACCGCGGGGTGGCGACGTGCCGGTGGGGTTCCGTGGCGTAGGGGACGGCCGAGGAGGCGGAGCTCTTTGCTTCTCGCGGATAACGCTTGCTATGCTCGACTTCACCGTTTTTCCTTACACATTTTCCGCGTTTTTCGTGATTGCTCCTCTTTTCCTATTATCTGACCATTTTCCTCTGCTACCCATCACTTATATCCTGATCCAAATAGGTTCTTCCTAATTTCCTACCTTACAAAAGCCATTGATTCGTCTTATCTTAAGCAGATTTAAAAAAAAAAATAGAAAGCAACGTGGTTCAGAGATCGAGGTTGGATCGAATACACATATCGGAGAGTAGAAAATCGAGCGCAAAGCGTATAGTGTGCCACTCGCTCGCCAGATGTGGCAAGTGCGGTCGTTCCTGTTGAATTGTCGCGCGCGCCCGCCCCCGGTCGCCCCACCTCTTCCTTCGCTGACCCCCACCATCGCGGCAACGCGCCCCACCACCGTAAACCGAACTGGCTATCTCTTCCACTTTAAGTTCTCTCGCGGTTGTGTTCGTGTACTCGGGAACCCCCACCACCTCTTCGGTATTCGCCACTTCGGAGCACGGTATTTGTCCTACACCTACCATCCTTCCTAGGCCTCGCTTTTCTCGTCGCGACGCAGCGTGGCGAGGCGGCCTGCTCCGAAGGAGCGCGCGCGCGCCAACTCGAAGCGCTACGTAAGAGGGAGAAAGGTTGACAAGTGATCGCGGATCAGACAGGGGTTCATCCTTGCCGCAAAACACCGTCGAGTTGCTGGAAACGCGATGATCGCCGGACCGTTTACGGATTCGTCATCGCGACGGAGACGTCGCTTTGTTCTTGCACGCCGTGAGTTCGAAGGGGACGAGTTTTCGGCTTGCAGAGGGCTGCTATCAAAGCGATACTCTCGGAGGGTAAACGAGATTGGACCGAACCTTTTTCATTTAGGGATCAGAATGGTTTGATAGGTATTAATTGTTGAGATTCAAGGGTAGTATTTTGAGTTCTTATCAACTTGAGAGGAGTGTTTTTTATTGTTGCTTTATTCCTGAAAATTGTTATGTAATTATTACATCGCCATATATAATACTATTGCTATCAAAATAAAAAAAATATACCTCTGCTACATATGTATGTAGTCCAAGACCTACCCTCTTACCACTTCAATTCAAACTTCCCGCGCTCTCGTTCCAATCACTCTGGAGGGGTGCAATATTCAAATCCGCGAAACGCGATCGCACACCCATTCCACTCGATCGAACTACAAAATTCCATTTCGATCAAAAGTAACACGGTGGTTTTAACATACTCGGTAGAATATAAACAGTGCTCACAATTCAGAGTCCCGTGTACAGGGAGGACGGGTTTCGTCCGGGATAACGAAGTCATCACGTCAGGATGTCGATGTATTTCAGACTGACGTAATGAAAGCCTTTGGCTTTCGAAGGGATCCGCTGGAAGAACTCGGCCACGGTCGGAGTATTTCGGTCCGATTCGAGGCGCATTGCCTCGCGGCCGCGTGTCACTCTTTGCTCTTCACTTCACCTTCTCTCTCTGACGCGCTCCTGCTCACTGTTTCTTCGTCTCTCCTTCTCGCTTCTCCCTCGGCTCGCCCCATTAGAATTTCTAATAAAGCCGTCGCAGGTGTAAAAAACGTATCGGGACCCCCATGAATCACGTGTCGCAAAGCAGAGCCGCCAGGACACGTGTATCTGTTATGCCCTTCTCTCGACAACGCCACGCGGAAAAGGACGCTTTGCGCGACCTCCTCTTCCGCTCCCTCTTCCAGGCTTCACCACGTTGCTACCTTGTAATCTAGCGACTCGTTGGAGTGGAACGAGTCCAGGGAAGTAATTATTGTCGTTGATAGCAGGCCTTAAGTGGCCGCGAATTATCGTAAAGTACATTTGCATTCGTCGAGTAGCAAAGGGAGTTCGAAGATCCTCTAAGTGGCTCAAAGACTGAGATTATTTCAATAATAATTGCCTCTGTATGGAAATATTAAGTAATTAATGAAATTGATGGCTGTAATGAATGCGCTAATGTCTAATCGGCATGAAGCCGAAGATGTTTCTTTGGTGATGACATTTTTAATCACAGTGAATTTTGTTATCAATGATACAATGATTCGAGCGAGAAAGTTTAACAGACACGCAGATCTTATAATAGCAAACCCGTCAGGGCAGTCATATATTAACTTCTGCGTGGACGGTTTCAGGCGTTTGCATAAATAAGGGTTGCCAAGCTATGATGATTTTCTTTTTGCTGTTGATGGAATCGTAGGTTGTTGTTTCTTGTACATTCGTCTAACAGATACGTCCTTAATCTTCCTACGATGTTTGTAAAAACAAGCTAATTGTCTTCGACCTGCATAGAATTAATAAAATTATGAACATAAGGAAAGAATATCTGCAACAGAGATTACCATACCATAGACACCTCTTGGAAAAAAAGTTTATAAACTCTTTCAACAAGAGGAGGCGCGTTCTTGAGAGCTGATAAATTCCGCGCGGGTTACCCGGACAGGCTAGAGAGGAAAAAAAAAATATATTCAATTCGAGGTTCACAGCTAAGACGCGTTGCAGAAAATCCAATACGTATCCGTGTGCCGGCCATGATGGATTGCCGGAGCTATGGGAAACTATCTGTCAAGCACAATATCGACCCTCGCCCTCTTCGTCCAACCCCTACGAACCGAAGGTTCACTCTCGCCGCTGCTGTTCGTCTCAGGGTTGTGCTCTGCAACGTAGCTTCACCCAACACTACCATACAAACCTTTTCTCCCTCCTTTTTCCTTTCCCCACTTCTGGTCGAGCGGTTCGTGACCATTTCGCAAATGGCACATCTCCACCATAGATCCTGTTATTTGCATAAAAAGAAAAATAAAGTAGACCTCGTGGAATCTACGTTTAAAGTTGGCTGATGCTGATGCTGGCCACCAAGGTGACTGCTTTGATAAGGGTGAACCCTGATTCTCGTTAAAATGTTTTATCGTATGCCATTGATGGCTTCCGATCGGTAGATAACGAGTACACGATCCACAATTTAAGGGGGTCGTTCGTTGAATTGTTTTCGCTGGTCCATTTGGCGGGAAGGAACCTTCGCTGGCGGTCCAAATTAATTTAACTCTCCCTGTTTACGAAAACAAACGATTAAGTATCTTTAGAGGAATATACGCTTTTAGATTGCAAGTAATTTAATAATGTTAATTATGCTAATATCAATATAATGTCGATGAAGTAACAGTGGCCTTTATGAAATAATTTATTATCAGTCCCAAATATAGCGTTTATAAGATTATCTAATAAAACTTATATTAAATCGACTAGTATCTCTCTTAAAGTACAATTGTCCAAAAATATTTTCTAGCTTTCCTTAAACTTGTAATAAATAAATTTATATTACTAACAATAAGCTCTGTAATCCTACGATCATTGTACTTAAAAATATCATACCTCTTGTCCACCCAAGAGTTCGTTTAATTTTTATTTGAACATTTTTTATCACTTTAGATGTATAATAATATTTACACTGTTTTACTAACTAATAGGAACATTCAGCATCATTTGCAAAATTATTGCAACAGAATAGAAAATAAAGTTACCTTACAGATTAGTTAATTACCACCACGATTGAAGTGAAAATATACCTTAAACTAAGCACTGATTCGCACAAGTTTATAGACCTTAATGATCTTGTTTGGACGATCTATAAAATTCAACGATTACGCACTTATTGTTCTTCGAGCAACTCCAACTTGCAATTCGAGGGCGACACAAATTCGACGCTGCGAACTAATTATTACGATTGCAAGTTAAACTGGAAGGATTGTTAAAAGGAAAAAAAAGAATTAAGACCGCTGTTGCACGCACGAAGAACGTTTTCAGCCATCTTGTTGCGTGTGAACGGCGCAGCTGCTGAGCGCCCCCCCACTCTTCTTCATCCCTTAACTTTTCGACTCCCCAAGTTGTCGCCCTGTCCGCATCAAGTTATCGGTAAGTTTCCACTCGATTATAAACATTGTTCTTTTCATTCTTACGTTTGGCTTTGAATTTTATGCTAGTTCCAACGATAAGTTCTTCCTCTTTTTCTTCAGGTTCTTTCAGCGTCCATCAGCTTCTCCCGTTCGCGCAAATCTCTTCCAGAAAGCGACCGTGACGAAAGTGGAAACGCGACGATAGCCGAGTCATCGTCATTAATCAGCCGAGTATGAATTTTCAGCGGACGAGTCAAAATATTTTCGAAACTTCGTACGCGGTACTGGAAAGAGTGGCCGGGCGTGTTGTAGCGCGAACCGATTGGAGCGGACCGTGGCAAGCGAAATACGGCGTGAACGACCGCGCTTTCGGGATACCTGAGCCGCAGGATGCTCGGCTGTTTAGCTCGTTCAGCCATAAATCATAGTGGTTGCAGGGTCAGCTGGCCCGATCTTGTCCCGAACGGCATTCCCTGTTCACGATGCACCGTAAAGGTCGAACTTTGTCGTGCGATGCCTGTAATTTCCTTTCTTCTAGTTGTCTCTTATCTATTTGACGCTTGCACTCTGAATTGCCCGTGGAAATGTAGGTTCTTTAGCTGGCTAGTCCATGTTTGAGGTATCTTCGACTAGTTTGAATGTTTTTGTGATCAGAAAAGGGTTAACACGTTGATTGCCATGAAGGATCACTGATGGCTTTTAAAGTTAATCTCAAAATTGATTCCCAAGTAACCTATATACCTACAAAATTATATTAAGCAGTCTTATTTTCAATACTGATCCAACGTGTTCAGGATTCGGCATGATGCTGGAGCTTAGGCATCTGACTCCCATACATTTGCTTCTGGAAGTAACTATGCCCGTCGTACATGTTATGCTGCTGATGGCGATACTGAAGATAAGCTTCGTGAAGATGATGCTCTGGCATCACGGAAGTATGTTGAATAGACGTGGTAGCTTGTCCGATGGGCATCATGGTAGTCGTTGGAGTTGTCGTTGTCCCCGTGGCCAATAGACCTTCAATGGGCGATCCACTTTGACTGGTGGATACGATGTCCTCCATATTCGTTTCCAGCCCGTTGTAACTCAGTTTGCCATCTTTCTTCGCTTTCATGCGCCGATTCTGGAACCAGATTTTAATCTGGCGCTCGGTCAAGCACAGAGCCTGCGCTATTTCTATGCGACGTCTTCTGGTGAGGTACCGATTAAAGTGGAATTCCTTTTCCAACTCGAGGGTTTGGAAACGTGTGTAGGTTTGTCGTGTTCGTTTGTGCCCAGCGCCATTCGTGTCCCCTATAATGTTAAGTGAAAAGTCAGCGAATGAGGAGTTAGGAGTTATAAATTTTTAAGTTAGGTTTTTACGTACCACTGGAGTAAGAAGACTTCATCCATGGATAGTCCACCTGTCGTTGCGCCTGATCTTCCGCGTACTCAGCCTCATTAGGGCTTTGCTTCCCATCATTATTATTATTCACATAGCTACCGTATCCCTGTTGAACGCTATAATCGGTCGGTGAACCTGGTGTCACTATCGAGGGTGTCACGCAGCTGCTGGAATGCGGCTGCGCGGGGTAGGCTTGATAGCCCTGCAAGTATCTATTTCGCGTTTCCGGCTGTTGAACACGATCCTGAGTATCCGCCAGGTACGCCGCGATAGGCGAGGTTCTATCCGTCGAGGACGTCGGTGTATACGGCGGAGTTTGGCAAGAAACGTAAGGAATACTCTGTGCAGGCGGTGACGTCACAGGTTTCCCGGTCGAATTAGCATAACCCTCTGCGATTGCCTCTTTCCCATGACGCAAAAGAGTCTCCAGGAGGCTGGAAGGGGGCGAGAGCTCCTGGTTCGCTCTCTGAGTGTAATCCGAGCTGGAGTGCAGCTGCTGATGCGTTGCGTGATACCCGCTATCGGGATACATAACCTGTTCGCCGGATCGATCACCGATTGACGATTGATAAGGCCAGTAGTCCGACTCGCTGTTGGCGAAGTACGCGGAGCTGGCCATCGCGATTGGAGGGGCAACTACGAAAGCACCAGAGACAACGCGATTATCTGTTACGATGAATCTCAAACAACACTGGTCCGTCCACTTCGAGGAGAGCACATTTCACGAGTAAAACTGGTCGGAGGACACTGTGACGTGTACACACTGCGTTTTCCTCACTTGATATGCAAAAGACACTCGGTGTTTAATATAAAACACACTGAAAACGACGAAGAAGTTCCTTCAGCACTGTCGACAAAGTCTGTGCACAGAGTATTCCAGGGAACGACAGCACAGAGAGAGGTACTCGCCAGGCAGCGAGGCCGACTTACAATGAAATGAAACGAATCCTGTCCCCGTGACGATTTTCGACCGTCCACGGTACACAGGGGTTCCACGCGTGCCAAAAAGGGCACCCCGGCAAACTTTCACCGGGTTTATTACCGTACCACGCGGACAGTGGCTCCCCGGCGGAGGTGGAGGGGACGACGGGACTCTACCCTTGGGTCTACGGGGTTCCCCGTGTAGCGCCTCCCGTTTCAACTCGGGCTACCGCAGGGGTGCTCTCCGCTTCTATCAGCTGCCCTTTGATTCAGAGTTAAGGCCACCCCCGATACACGCAGACGATTTTCGATCTGTGCCACAATCCCCTCCCACTATTCACGCTATTCACACAAAACCCATATTGGCTCCCCTTCGCACCCGACCTCGCACAATGCCTGCCATGTGTGCAACCCCCTTTGCCGGCTTGGCTGCGTACCGAGGGCAGCCTATCGGCGACGAGCGACCCCCATGGATGGAAGCTGACGAGCGAGCGAGCTCTGATAAAATCGGGGAAATTGATAAGTGGCTTTTAATGATGCTTCTTAAAAGGGAGGAGGCTGTTTTTTAACGGGCCCGGGAGCTGGTTGTTGATGATAGATTGCTGAGTTATTTATGGGTTGTTTCGGTTGTTCCTCAGGTGACAGAATTAGGGTTAAGATTTAATCATGTATTTATCAGGCGAAGAGAAGGAACGGGGTCAATGGTTAGCTCAAATTTTTTAATTAAAACAGAGCTCTACGAGTGAAACTTGACAATGCACCAACATGATTGATGGTCCGGTTGGATGAAATATGTCTCCAATTTTGTTTTTGGAAAATTTTTCGAAGTTCCGAGTGTTTTTCCGCGTTTTTATCGAGAAACCGGAAAGACTGAAATAGATATTTCGAAGCGGGTAAACAAAGAGAGCTCGACGAAGCTAGACGCAGGCAGTCTTGCGAGTGACGTCTCTTTCTAGAAGCCTGACCGGCGACGATTAATCAACCCTGTTGAACCCTCTCTCCTCTTTCCCGTTATATACACGTGCATTTAGCACGTCTCTTCTGCCCCCGTTCACCTTCTGTATTTTCATTAATCCCACTTTCGTCTCGGCGCATTTGCGAGGAGGGGAAACGAGCCGAGAGGAAAGGCCGAAGAAAGCTGAAGAATTATGAAAGTAGGCTCGACCACTTCGGGAGGGAGAGCCCTTCCATTTCGGCTCATCATGGACAATCGAAATCTTTTTCTATACTGAACACGTTTCTATCCTTTGAATGCTTCAATTATTTTTGTAGTAATTTTATCATGAATAAATTTATTTTAAAAAATGTCAAATCCCTACATTTATTTTCCCGAACCAATATTCTTCTAAACACATTAAGAAATCAGTGTCTACGGTGAAACCTCAAAGAAGTAGGGAACGAAAATGTAACAAATGACTATCTTAATGTTCCTACACAGCCTCCGCTAAGTCTTTCATTTGTTAAAAATCTAATTAAGCAAGAAAAAAGGCGTGAACGTTGTCAACCAGGTAATTGGAGCACAAAAGGTTGAAGCGGGATTAAGTAAGACACAATCGTCAAAGCTAATGATCGGCTCGCGCTTAAACGGGCCCGCTTGGAAACAATTATCGTCCGGAGGAAGATAATAGACGGCTTTGCGGACAAACTATAAATAGTAAAGCAACCCCGAAAAAACGTGATTGATGATGCGTTCGTCGTGGTGACCAAACCTACGGGGACTCCGAACGACTGATCAGGATGGACACGCGTCCGCACCACTACGTCCAACCATCATCCACACGTATCTGAAACCTTCACCAACACCAGCACGCAAATGATGCTGAGAGAACAACGCAGGAGTTTGAGCTCGCGTGTGCAAGAGAGGAAAGACCACGATGATAATAAATAATAATCCGCAAAGGGCGATACTTGTGGGAAGCGACGAGGGTCCCGACAGGGACGTTTCGCGGACCGTAAATGATTTTACCTACTGACTTCATTTTCCCTAGTCCCGGGAATCTCTGCTGTACTGTTTTTTTTTTAGTTTAGGACCGAAGAATATGAGGGATCCGATCATTCTGAATTGTAATTTTGATCACTTCTTCGATACTGATATTAAAAAATAAATATTCACAAGCACGATTAGAAATTGTAATTACACAATAAAATTAATGTTTCCTCCTGTTCATTGTTAAGCAACAGAGGCAACGAGTAGTACGGTAAAAGAAGGAGTGGGAGAAAAAAAGGCAGGTTCTTATTTACAGCGGGACCAAAGCAGACACGTAGTATTAAGCAAACTACCTGAACGACACCTGGGATGACGTATTGCAGCCAAAGTGCGCCGTCTTTATACTTTATGAGTCTGCTTCATAAATAGCATCGTCCCTTAACAACCGAGCAGCTCGAAGACACGCGCCTCCCCACGCGTTATCCCCACGCCGTACTTGTACACCACGCTAGCCGTGGTGTCTTCATTTTTGCGTCGGCCGTGTCGCACGGTCACTTTGGAACACCATAAACAGAATTATTGCCAGCTGTTCCACGTTTTTGTCACGCAGGTATACAAGAAGGCGAACCGTCGACGAAAAATTCCCCGGCTACGTGCAATAAAACTTTCACTCCTGACCACCCTTACCTTCTGTTTTGTTTCTTTTTTTTTTCTGCTGGAAATCTGTCACGCACTCGTGTTCTTTGATTTTCAATGGTCAGGCTACCTTGATGATCTGCTGAAGTTTGGACACGTTGATTCTTCATGGAGGTAGGTCGAAGGTAGGCTTGAGGGAAGAATTCTGGGTTTCAGTACCTTAAAACGGTGCAGAGTTTTGTAAATACAGCAACATAGTGCTCTAGTGTCTTGGAACTAATTTTCTTTAAGCGAAAGGAAAATTTTTAAGTTTGGTCACGTAGATTTTTCTTGATGGATTCTGGGCTCTATCGAACCAGTTACATTTCGAATTCGGATTCTTGGTTCGTAGGACAAATTAAATTGGGGCTTCGCGTTGCGTGAAATGGCGCGGCATCTCGGGGGCTAACATATGTGCCCCCATCCGCCCTGTGTACCTCGAAGGGAGAGAATGTTCACCGGTTTGTAGGGTGGCGTTTGCGACCATTTGGGAAAATTGGAAATATCGGGATCAAGCCAGGCGGCCTCTATTATTGTTCGATTGATTTATATTTTGTTTGCGTTACTCTACAATCAACTATCTGGATCCATCCGAATCAAATCCAGTTCGTCGTTAAAAGATCTCTATGTTTGCTGGGCTGTCCATTCCTTTTTTTTTAATATTAAAAGTATTAATTAATTAAATTAATAAAATGTAATATGGCATTAATCCATATGTGGACTATCAGCTACCATTAGAATTAAAATTAGAATCCAAAAGAAGGGAAATTCAAAATGGATGACTGTAAGCAGAAAGCCACGGGTTTAATGGCAGCGTTATAGCGAACACGAGACGAACAGGCGTTTCGGGGCGGAGCGGTAAAACCGCTGAGCAATCGTTCGAAGGGTGGCCAATCTTTTGGATAGAGGTAACGAGAACTGGAGCAAAAAGCGCGATACCTTTTCTTACTTTAACGACCCGATCTTTGCAACAGGGTACGCAAAGTAGATGTGAATTTTTCTACTTTATAAATAATTATCTACGAGATGAACGCCACGTGTGAATATCACTCATTTCGTCGTCGGCTTAGAAACTCTCAAAGTTTCAAAACTGACGCGTTTAATAAGCTTTCTACAAACCCCTCCTAATTCTAAGCAGGTACAAGAAGTGTTTACAACGTTGTCCTTCTTTTGAATTTGAAATCCCAATTGGCTCCTCGACAGATTAGGACCCAGAGGGTAAATATTGACACTTATTAGTCAATGGTTAATTCCTTGAACATCGGACACGCGCGTTGTTTAAACGCCCAAGGGATTTGCATTGTGTCGAAATAGTGAATAGCTTTCTTGCCGAAAGCCAAGTGATCGCTATGCGACGAACCGACAACCCTCCCTAAGGAATTTCGAAATTTAAACGCGGCCAACCCTGCCCTTTCGGTTCACGAACCGACGACATTGCGAAGGGGAGAAATTTTCTATGAAGAAAGCAGTTTTTAACCGTTAACTAACAATCAGTAATAGTAACTATATTGGTATCATAAAAGATGGAGATATGTTTTTTTCCACTCAAACCTTGTAGCAATAAATATTGACTGAAGCATTCTGTTAATTCAAAAGTAGAAACTAGTTTCGGATGGAAGCCGCGCACTTTCGACTGGAATGAATATGAAAACAAGTTTGTTCGAGGAGAAACCTTGTTCTTTTCAGGAAACCGACTTGTGCTTAACTGATTAATATTTAACAAGTGTTTATTACACCATCGTCAGCCAGAAAATTTCATCATTGCGTTTAGTTGCCTATAAACACGGTAAACGTTCTATTGATGCGATCTATGAATTTATTAAGGCGTCTAATAATATTTGTTTTATTTGTTCAAGTCAACTTACATGTTGAACCATAATCAACTCCCGATTATCTATACATTGATTTTACGATTACGTATCTTTGAATTCGAGTAATATTTATCTAACTGGAAAGTTATAACCAGTTTCCTTAGTTTCACTCCTTCAACGCTATCATAAAAATCATCGAAAACGAGAAATGAATTTCGAATGTGCCTTCATATTGTTGAATTAATTTCAAAACTACTCAAACCACTAAGTACACGTAAAAGAGAAACCAATTCGATTATCAACCCTTCTAACCCCTAACGACCCTCGAATCTCCAATTAAATCCACTCCGAAGCAAATCATTTACCTCTGTAAATCCGTGAATTACTTTGCTAAAGTTATCGATCATGAAGGACATCGTGGACCCTCCAGACCTCTATAAAGCAGTGGAAAGAGAAGAGACAAGTCCGTTGGAAAAAGCCTGACGAGAGGGGAAAAGAGGATGAGGAGGCAGTGAGAAAGTCTTCACGGGATCCTGAGCAACGTTATCGATCCCGCATTCGTTTGTATAACGTGTTTACTTCTCACCGCAGAGATATCTTCTCTCTCCGCTCATAGTCTCTCTTCGGATGTCTGTTCAGACTGCGAGCGGTCCGAGAACGAGGCACCCTCTTTCTCGATCGAGCTCAGCAGGGGTGGATCCACGGTGAACGCGAAACTCCAAGGGAGAGAGGGGTGCATGGGGCCGTACCGAGTATCATTTATCAAGTCCGGGTCTGTCAATCCGGGGAGCATTGATACGATGATGGTCCAGCGACGCCACGACGCTCCTCCGTCGCGATGCTGATGTTTTTTCTATTAACAGTCCCTGCGACTCTTTGCTATTCAACGTTAACTCTTCCGCCGAGGTTGATAATTGTACATTAATGACTAAAAAATTGATGAATAACATATTTTCTGCATCAAACGATGGTATATCGTTCTGTGTCGTTGGCAAAAGGGGCCGGGGGTGGTTTTTGCCTCGGCCTCGTGGCACAGTTCGCTAATTGCTCCAAGTGTTTAAGGTGCGTGCCAAATTTGGGAGTGGTCCGAGCGAGAGGTTGTAAGTGCGGCCGTCTATGGCAAGCCGCTTGTTTCCGGGACACGCGAAACTCTCGTTAACTTCGACCGCGCGATATTGTATTGCGCTTTGAAGTCGTGCTTCGACGAAGACGCCGGCTGCGAGCGAGGACCTGAATGGGGAAAAAAGTTCCAGCATCGAGACTGGAGTTTAATGGAGGCTCCTGGAAACGATAACGTCGATAACGTCGTTAAACAAGAAGGGAAACAAGAGCGAATAATGGAAAATATTTGAGAGAATTATCTATAGCTGAATTAATGGAAAACATAAAAATTATTACAAGACCTTAGAGCAGCTTCGCTCACGCGAATTGCATTCATACATATTATACGCATTAATTTTATTCGCACTCAGCACCGGTAAATTCTCTCACGAACGTGATTAATGCACATTAATTAAAGATGAGGTTGGAGTAACGCGTTGATACAGTCTATGGAGAGGAATCGAACCAAAAAACGAGCCTTTGTTCCATTACCTCTATAATAGGAAAAAAAAGAAGAGATTGATTCAAATTGTGCAGGAAAGAGGTCGAAATTCCAGGGGAAGTTAGTCCGCAGAACACGAGGATGCCACGAAGCTCGACCAACAAGCCGGCAATGCATCGTTAGCCGGGATGGTTGGCAGATAAATGACGTGGTTGGCTCGCATCTGACGTGAATGAAGCCAGGATGGCTTACCTACGTGTCCGTCGGCGGTGCGTGTACCTACGGGACCCACGGTGATCGCAATGACTACCTAATGATACATTGAGCAGCGTTTTGCTAGCGAGCCATCAACGACTTTACGTGGTTTTCCTTCGAATTAACCTTTTCTACGTGAAGATAGAAATGATGATCATGTAACGTGTATTTCTTTCTGCGAAATAAAGAATCATTTAGTATCAGATCTCTTTTAATATTAACTAAGGTTAAGCCAGCAAAACAGCGGCCTTGATAACACGTAGCATGGTTACCCAGTTTTACGTCATTCGGCGATTTTCCGCGGTGCGTCGTTTCTTTCCATCGGCTCTGCTATCACTGTTGAACAGAGAATATCAGTTGCTACGAGCGTAAGCATTTTCGTGGTCAATAACCGATTGGAGTATCGGCATACACGTGATACGCGCTAATCACTGGTTTATTCCTTGAAACGACGATTGTGAAAGTTGCAACCGCGAGATAAATGCGAGCGTCGTCGCAGAACACCAATAATATATTATTGGAATGTGTTTTAAATGATTGCGATAATTTTTTATAATATTGAATAAAAAGTGTAACGAAAACGTAACAAACTCAATTCTGAGCGGTCTACGTGACGTTCAGAGATAAGTTTCGAGGAAATTGTTTCTTTTTTCTTTTTCGTAATGGCTAACAAGCTTAATTACTAAAAAGTAACTACAATCGAGGCAACGATCATTATCGAATAACCAATGAATCGGAGGAGGGCAGAGTAGATCGCCGGTTACAATTATCGTGACATCGACGACTGCTGGAAAAAGAATTAGAGTTTCGAGCGGAAAGAAGGGTGGGATGGATAGTAGGATGGTGAACCGAGGTTAGCGGCAAACGGGTCTCGGTTACGTCGAAATAGAAATTCAATTGATCTTGTCCGGTAGTGTCAGGCAATCCATCTTGTTCCTTCCGCAGCGTCCAAAAGGCGCGTCTCTGCCTCGAATCCAGAGAAGCTTTCCGCGTTTTCTCGTTCTCCAGCTTTCGTTGCCGCGACGCGACGGCCAACGATTCCGTTCGTCGCAGAAAAAACACTGGACAGCTGTCCGGCCGACCGCCAAACTGCTCATTAATTACGTTCCTGGAGCCCACTCACACGTCCGCGAACGGTTGTTTGTCTTTTCGTCCAGTTTTGTCGTGTCATCGTCGTTCTGAATAAAAATCACCCTGCGAATCGTCACAGCGATTCGTCCTTCAGCCATTTCCGCTGTTTTATTCGCGATTCGAGTCACGAGGCCGGTATTTGCCGTTTTGTAACGGTGTTTGATAACGGGCAAGGATAATTCTATGTGCCTAATTTCACTTTCAAAGGACCCTGGTTCACACGTATTCCATTCTTCCATTTCTAAGGAAAATTTTCAATCTTTTCGTAATTGCTCGATGCTGATCTACCGATCAATACACAACACCTCCCGCAAGATTCTGCTCTATAGTTAAGAGAAGTGATTTTCTCAACCAGGAAACCGCTCGTTTCCCGTCGATGCAACAATCGAACGCGATCGTAGACAGATAAATTGCTCGCCAGCTGCCGATCCGTACACCGTCGTAAGATAATAACGATTATTCTCGGATTACCGATTTTATCCTGAACGACCGAAACGAGATATCGCCGAGATAAAGGTGGCCGCGATACGCAAGGCCGGCTACCTGCTTCGCGTTGATGCGCGTGCTTCCACGGCGTCGACTAATTGGTGGTACAACTTTATTACTCACCGTTAAGTAATGACGGGCCATGCTAAGTGCGCCGGTTTAAAGACCATGAAAGGGAACGCCGATGCAGGCGGCTGATAAACATGGTACCGCGTCCGGGGATCAACGTGACGCAGACCACGAAGGGGTGCCTTCTTTAATAAGGCGATAAGGGTCACGATTCGAGCGATTTCCAATGGCCCCTGGCGATTCCTCCGTCATTCGAAACCGACGAACACGGTGAACGCCTACATCCGGTTGATCTGCGTGCTAGTTTAAAGAGCAAGCAAACTGTCCTTTGAAGAGATAGGAAGTTGCTAATGAAAGGGTTGTTCAATATATGAGTTTTTATATAATTTGTATGTGATTTTGGTGAAATAGATATTGAAAATGGACTTAGAAACTTTTTCCTCGGTCTTTTTCATACCATGCTTCCCTCTTTGGAGTTTTTGAAATTTCACTTTGAAATTTTTTTAACTACAACAGAGGAGGCAGAGAAATTTCTAAGTTCCTGGTATTTATAACAAGGTAGGATGCGAGCAATAATCCAACAATATACATCGGGTGCATCATCCAATCCAGTGATCGGATGCAAGAGCTGGAAATGACTGAATGGTTGAGTCACGGGTCAAAGTCACGGGGGTTCTCCAAGCTGGAAAGTCAATCTGGATTAGAAAAAGAAGTCCAGGCGTTAGCAGCTACTTGCGGATAATTAATAATGTCGGGATCAAAAGTGTGCCCATTGAATGTTCGCTCATTCACAAACGATCTTTCTCCGCCCAGATGAATGCCGGACCAGATCGTTACAAGGGTATTCTACGGGCGTGCCTCGTACGGGTGTCTTCAGGTCAATACCGGCGGTTCGTTGAATACAATTATTAATGCCGTCATTAAGAGCATTTACCATTTTTTAATGCGAACGATCGGAAAGAAATATAAATCATATCCCTCCTTCTTTCTCTCTTCTTCGCTGCGTCTTCACGCGATCCCAGCTTGCACTCCATGACCCTTTTCAACTTTCTCTTTCTCTCTCTCTTTTTTGGTCACTTAGTAAGGGAAGAAAAATTGGGCCAGGTATGATTTAGTCTATGAATTTTGGTACCCAGCGAGGGGTGCACCCAAACCTCGATGTACCCTGTAAAACACACTATCGTAAGTTTAGCTTTTATAACCAAATACAGCAGCAAAGTAACATTAATGATGAGAAATAATTATTTTGACAGAAGCAACGTTTGTTAATAATAATAAGAAAACACGGGACACAGATCCCTGCAAGCACGTGTAAAGACAACCTTTCTAAATTCCCATTAGAATCCACGAGAGGTGGATTTAACGTTCTCCTAGTTGTCTGTGTCTTTAATGAAGCCGCATCGTCTTGCTTGCAGTTATAAATTACGACGAAAGAGTTAACCGGTTCGCAAGAAACAGCGGGAAACAGGGTCCGTGGAAATTCGGTCGTTCTATCCTGGCGAATGTATTTTAATCGCGGTTAAAAGAGAGGCTCTACCACGGGGGCGAAACGCGTCTCTCTGTAAGAGACACGTGTCAACGCGATAAATCGTGCCGATGTCCGACATACGGTTTGCTTTGGACGGCAAATTCAGTAGCACGCATATATAACACGTACGCTTGTACAGTATAAACCTTGCAGAGGCGTAGCCGTTTAACATTCATCACGTTTTACCTTATTTTCAATCTCAACACGAATTAATTGGACGAATTAACCCATAGACCGGCACATTCGTCGAAAATGTTCAACCGCCAGTCTGACGAATTTATTATTCTTCCCATTAGAAAGAGGACACATTCTAAGACGGTGATTTGTCTCTCTCAAGTTAAAATTATTGATTTCTTTATGAAGAGACTTTTCAAGATAGATTCGTTTCCAATGGGCTCGAGATTCACGACAATGGAACAACCGAAGATGTTGCAAGCGAATGTACAATGAGCAGGCGATGATTCTTCGACGCGGTTCAGGGATGATTTCCAAGGCGGACAGAAGAAGGCTCGAGAAGCATCGTAGAGATTATATGGGGCGCGTCCATTCTAAACGTGTTACTCTATTTTCTCTCCCCTGTGTCTCTTTCTCTCTTCCTTTCTTTCCCTTTCATGCTCCTTTCGATCTACTTCTGTCACCCTACTCTTCTTTCTTTCCCGCTTCTGCACGACCGGGAACCGCGTTACGCGTGGTTTCCGCCTGCACCTCGGCCGATTATTTGTTGCTTCCGCTCTTTGAAAACTATTTTCAAACCGTAAAGTCTTTGCAAGATCAACTCGAATCTCAGATTGAGCGATTAAGTGCCATCGAAACACGCTAAAGCGAAACCCTTTTCAACTATCCCGCCAATTATTCTCTAGTAAGTAATTGCAAAAATTCTCCCGGAACAATTTCCTAAATGACAAACGATCTTCATTAAATGGATTGATGATTCACGCGTTTAAAATGATGATTTCTACTGTGAATCTCGTTTCGTTAAAAGTTTCCACTTTTAGCGACACGGTCTCAATCCGATCGTGCAATTAATTATCAATACGATTCAGAGTAAGCAGCGAATCGTTCGGATTCGCGGAATCGATAAGAGTCTCGTGTCCGTCCAAATGTCCCTATGATTTAGAGGGACTGGAGCGTCTGTGTGTATTTCGAATAAAGTGTCCAGCGGTGAAAAATCGAGACCGATGATCCAGGTAGGCGGTCGTAGGTTCTTCAGAAACCGCGACTCGTCGCTAGGGAGTTATGGCGCCGACTGGTGGCACGCCTGTGAACCGCTCGCCTGAAGAGGGCGTTATCGGGCGGCTTAATCGAACGATTAATGCACGGTACGCGTAAAAGTATCCGAGAACGAAAGCGGGCCGAAAGGGAAACAGGCTGAGAATTAGCCGGCATGAATGAACTAACTGGACAGACGCTCGTTAAGAGTTGGATCTCGATTCGAACTCAATTTCAATAAAACAAACACTGACCGATTGACTAATTATCGACTCTGACCAGTTTGGACCAAACTGTCCAGATCAATACGACTGCCAACCGCGAGTACCTTCTCCTTCTTCAGATCTTGAGAGATAATTTCGACACGAGGAATCCGGATTTTTATCGTACACCCGATTGAACCTTAATAATGACTTCTCGGTTAATTAACGATAATTAACATATTTCAAAAATGGATCAACATTTTTGACTGAAATTTTTACCGAACCTGAGTAACATTTTTTACCACAAGGTAGAAGTTGCTGGAGATCGCATAATTTCTACCCGAGCAAATATTTTGATGATCCGGTGGCCCAGCGGGGAACGCGGAGGCAAAGCCGAAGAGCAACTCGCATCCCCCATTAATCGAGGATCCAACAACTCGGCCGATGGTACCGCCTCGAATTTCCCTGGACACTGATTAAGCAACGCGAGTGTCAGCTTAATATCCAGATGCCCCGATAAAGACCTTACGGCGAAGTTCCGGGCGATCGTGGAGCGAGATAGATGGACCGTCCACCGGACGCGCGCGTCCACATCGAAAAGGCAGCAAAATATTCGAAACGAATGGCTCGTGTCGGCTTGGACACGGCTACCGTGCATTTGTCCGCTCGTTCCCTTCGAACAGATCGTATTAATCTGTCGCTAATGAGCAGAACCCGATCGTTGGACGGAAAGGTAAGGGGAGGTGTATCATCCGCGAGATACGAAGGACAGGCTCATTACCGGCCAACCAGCGTGTGCTTCGCGACCGGTTCAATATTTAACGCGTCTCGAGGCGTTCCATCACCTTTCGATATCTCGACACCTGGCCACGGGATTAGGGGACGCTGTATGCGTACTCGAATCGATTACTCCTGCCTATCGATTCACTTATCCCTGATCGTTGCGCGCTCATTCCTGGAGGGGATCGCTGATGTTGAAGAAACGTTTGCTGAACATCCAGCGATGCAAATGAGCTAAATAAATTTATGTAATGCAAGCGTCTTATTTGCTGCTTTTTAAGTTGTAATATTTATCCAAACCGTATAAATAGGTTGAAATAATATTCCTCGTTCAAGTTTTTAATTTTTCACTTGATGGATGACGGGAGGACCTAACGAAAATCAAAACTACGCCCGATTTTTCCGCATCAGACGATCGTTGAATAGCTCCGCGCGTTCGAACGCGAACGTCTTGCGTAGAAGAGTAGATACGATTGACCAGGGTCGCTGTCAGCCCCGAAGTCAGGTTTGACGCCAGCCGGAACGATTTATCAGAATAATGCACACGCCATTACCCCGGTGTCCCCGCCTTAAAACCAAGATCTTGATTTCGCGCTAGGTCCTGTGCTAGCTAGCAAGCATTCGACTTTTCTTCTTCGTTCCCTTATAACATCCGATCCTAGCTGTTAACATCATTACGGTTGCAATCCAGACAGAAGTAAGAAAAAAAATGTTGTTCCCTTTGCGGAACTGGGGTGAATTTCTTCTTCGTATCATTGCGGTTGATCTGCAACAAAAAGGGAAAGATCTTTGAAACAAAGTTCCATGAGATTTGTGACTGTCAGAAAAATGACTGATGAAGTTTTTCAATTGACCTCTTTAAGTAAAGTGTTTTTTCATCCGTAATTTTCGTTTCATCGAGTATCGACCGAACGAGAATGGAAACAATAGTAGCAATTTGTTGGAAGAACGAGGGTTTGCCCTGTGAATTCCATTGAAAGCGTGTCCCCGTGGAATTTCACGTGCATGCCTGTCCTCGTTCCGACAACATAAAACGCGGTAATCCGAGATCAATTCGCGCGAACGGAACAGGAGGAGCTCGCGTTTTAGTTCCAATTAAAAGCGGTCGAAGCGTCGGGCAAATTTACGACGAGTTGATTAATGGGCTGGCCAGGTATTTGTCACGTTGTTTACGAACAGCCGAAAGAATAAGTTGACTAGTATAACTGACCGTGGATAGCCGGCCAGATTTATCGCGTTATTATCGACCCGTCGTTCGTCCACGGTCACGGCGGAAAACTGTAATTGAAAGACACGAAAACTATTCGACAAGGATGGAAATCAATACCCGTGAAACTAATTAGAACCGATCAAGTTTGGATCGCGCAATGATCGGATACGAAATACTGAATCCATTTATAAATTATTTTTAGCAGAAAGCTGAAATCCAAGGGTGCAAAATATGGTACCGAGATGTTGATTAGAAGAAATCAAGATGAAGGTAGATGCAAGAGACTCTCGCACCCCTTGACATACTTAAATTCTTTTGGCAACGAAGGTATCGACAAGCAGAAGAAGCTGGTCTGACCCGTGTGTGTCGCGAGCTGAAAAGGTTCTACTACCATGACTGCCGAGATTTATCGTTTAAACGCGCACTTACGGTCTCGGCAGAGGGTATTGCATCACACACAAGCGACGATAAATCATCAAAATACGAGCCGATGACGGGGCGCAAAGAAACAGCATTTAACACAGCGCGACAACTTAGAAGAGATCCATGATCCGAGAAATCATTCACACAGCGAAAAAGATCAGATTTATCTGCATGCGCACGCTAATTATTGCGAAGAGACATCGTGCAGCACGTGCATCGAAACGTTGAACCCTCTATCGTTTTATCTTTTCACAATGGTAAAAATGAGTATCGTTAAAGTGATACTATGCTCGTCATTCGTACCATGTGGTAATTAATGACTTGTGCAGCCTGGAATTTTCTTTATTTGCGTCTTTATGTTTTCTATTAATTCGATTGTAGTCTATGTACGTTTTAACACGGTGTACACGAAGGGATAACTCACGTATCCCCGTGATGATAGGTTTCGCTATCGTAAAAGTACGAAATAAACAGTTCCAGCGTAACGCCCAGATTATTAGACGTTACATCTGGCAAAACGGTTTCCAATTTAAGCGCTACCGTGCCTGTAATCGCGATGATTCATGAAATGGCAATTATCAAAGCACGAAAAGCCAGTGGTATTAAAGTGGACGAAACGGTGCCGCGAGTCGCGAGTCGCGATACAATCGTAACGTGTAATTTAGCCATTAAGGCTGACCGTGGAAACCTAGTTCACGGCAGTCATCATCATTTCTATCATCCGATCCCAGGCTGTACGGTTGGCGAGAGAGCCGGCCCGCGACGACGCCAAGGCATTAGCTCTATTTAATGCGAGCCTCTTTAGCCTTGGCTAATTGATGGCTGGATATTAGCGTAATTGTAATGAGGCGAAATTACGGCAATCACGCGGTCTACCGTCTTGCTACGGGCTCGAAGGAGTTCCACGCTTTCGGGAGATCTTCAAAGAAACCCGCCGATGTTTTCTACAATCCCCCACCCTATCGCTCTATCGTTAATCTAGCGTCTGGTATCCATGGTACGCGGACGAATCGTTTTTGACAGATAACGGTACGGATTTAAAGCGATTCTATGTTCCACGAATAGTTGTCCTACCAGTTTGTCATTTTTCTGGTTAGACGAGATTAAAGATCTATGTAAATATAGAGAATTTGCCTTTCCGAGATGAAGAGGTTGAATCGTGATTTGAATTATGAAATGAAGAAATACTTGGGAACGATTTTATTCAGAAAATGTTCGACAAGTTTCAAAGCAGCCTCTAACAAGATTTTGTAAAAAAGTAAAAACCCTTAATCTTCCATCGATCACCTATGAATAAACGCATCGAAGCAACTATCATTTTCTACGTGCATCGTGTCAAAAACGAAGCTGGCAATATTCGAGATCGATCCGTGGAACATGTTATTTAAAGAGAAGAAGATCGAAGTGCCGTCAGACAAATATAAACACGTCTCTCGGTAGCCACGAGGGTGCACGAAGTCGTAGCCACTTATTTAGACGAGCAGCCATAAAGCTGATCCTCTCGTTTTGACGTCGGGTCGGTAATTCATCTACCGTCTAGCTGGGACGCACCACCCGCAGGATAGACCAACAACAGACACCCGGCTTACGGGACCAGGCTTAGGGGGTTGAAAACGACGCTTAAAACGACAGCCATCTGTCGGCCAGACCGCGAAACTCCTGTCAACGGGAGTTCACCGTGTGTCCCGTGGCCGGTAAAGGACACGTCGGTCGTCCACCGTTTATGTATCGGTGGGTGGTTAACGATAACCTCGCAGCGAATACGTGGATTATGATAACTATCAGCAAACAGGTGCACAAACGTTGCGCGAGATACGATTATCCGATAATTGATTCGTATCTTAAATAAGGAGCAAGATATTGTTCTTTTCTCGAGGTGACGTTTTGCGTGACACCCGCGATCCGCCATAATGGATCGTTAACCTCTTCATTAAATATTTTAATTAACTGTCAATGTAGATTCGTTAATTTTCATTGTGATATTGATTAGAGTTATGATTTATATTTTTTCGATAGCTTTCTTGTTAAAGAGGTTTATGTATTTAGGGAAAGATTTGTAGGAGAAGCGATATCTGCTGGAGGATTATGGGTAACTCGATGATGTACAATGGCCGTTCGATAATTTCTCGCCCTCCAGACTCTAGGTATGCATTTTCAACGTTATATTAATAGAACAGTTTTTATGTTAGGAGATCAATTTTTCCAAAGACTGAAGAACACCTCTTTTATCGTTTAATGACGCGCAACGTTTAGTATCACGGAAGGAAATCGTCCATGGAACAGGTCGGTGTCGAGTTTCGATTCAAAATGACGCTTTCATAATCGACAGCCGTCCTGACGAGTACACTCGTTAGAGAACCACGAAACGACGGATTTATTATAACGTCAGACAGCAGACGGCGCTACCGAGCCGGCACCGATTTTTCATCCCGTAAACACGGCCTGATTATTTATGAATGTGCAAACGCACGCGGTACAATCGATTTCACGGAGGCAAATTAGCCTGAACCTGCAAGCAGATAGGGGGTATTAAAATAATAACGCTCATCGCATTAATGGGTTATAATAATTAGGGAAATTCCTGTTTGCCAGAGTATCATCGGTCCTCGTTGCGCAAACGTTCCTTCTCTTCTCTTCTTTCGCTGATATCTCTTTGCTTTCCCGCCACAGGAATGACTTCCTATCGTCTGCAGGCCTTACCCCTTCCCTCGTGAAACTTCTCCAGACTTATGATCGAATCGCGATACTTTCTACCCTACTGGCTGCGCCACTAATGAAAGCCATGTTGGAATTAATTAAAAGAGATCATGCAATCAAAATGACCGAACGTCGGCTACTGGATATCAGTCAAGCGTTTCGCGAGTTGATTGTTGCAACCTTAAATACTTTTAGAAGCAAAGTAAAAAAGTGCTTTTACAACCGCCATCAAAAGATTCAGCGCGTAATTATCGAAGCGTCGGAGGAAGCCGAAGAATTTGGAAAGCGTTGATAGAACAACGATTCCGCTCGTCTGCCACTCGATATCACGAGTTAAGAACTACTTCCTGGCTAGTGTTGGAGGTTTAGAAAGTTCGAGCATTACCAGGAAGATTAGGGTAAGAAAATTTGCGGAGCGAGGTTGGCTCGCGATTCAGGAACGCGGCCGGAAGGGTGTTTTAATGGCGGCGATTAGCGAAGCTAGGCGCCAGGGAGTCGTAGATCGCGCTGCGGACTGCCACTTTTCGCGCATCGCTCTCTCGCCTTCCTGTTTCTTCGTCGAACCGATGCCAATACTCCCGAGACCGGAAAAGCTACTTTCCAGGAGTAGTTAAGGAGTTCTAATCTTTTTACGCGCATCCTCGAGCGTACTCTGCCGGGAGAACGCGGGGGAAAGTCTCGAGGAAAGAAAACGAGATGAATATGTACTTCTTTCGGAGGATTTTTACGTTGGACGAGGATAAAATGTATCGTTGAAACGAACTGCTAATTCATAAAAAGGTTACTCTCAATGCTTGCAACGATATTTCAATTGAAGTCACGTTTTTAAATAGCTTTAACATGGTGCCATCATTATAGTCAGCTCCATCAAGAGTTTTATGTTGGAATAACAGAGGGACTTGGCAACATTAGCAAAAACTCTGACCACCAACGGAGAGCATTGCCTAGAATACTCTTTGCCAGTTGTATAAGCGCTTCTGTTATGAAAAAGAAGAATGACACGGTAATACCAGCAGCGTTTTGCAACTGGAAAATCAGACGCAATCCTCGCGAAACGCACATTTGAAGTACCGGTAACTTTGAACTTAATGCCTTAGCGATTCGCTGACCATCTCGTGAGTCATCCTAGTTTTTGCTCGCTAGTCCATGAACTAAATATTACACGATCAGGGCTCGAGTGTCCATCAGGTGTCAACTTTCACTCGGGAACCCATGATTCATCGCTATTTTTTTTCTTCCTCTTTCTTCTAAAACCTGTGCTCAACAATTACCCTGTTACTCATTCAACGTTTAGCAACACTATTCCGTGGTAAATGGTAAAGTATACGTAATAGCAGAATATAAACTGATACTTATTTCTAAAAATTAAAAATTGGTTTTCACCTTCGCGCCAAATTCACCGTTCTCGTTACGAAAACGAATCCCTTGTCGATGAA